ATTAGTGTTCTTATAAGACAGACATCAAAGAAAGTCAGTCTCTTCCCGTTCCCTCCCTCATTCTCTCCTTCGTCATATTCCTACCCACCTCAATTCCCACCCTCAGTCTAAGGGAAAGGCCATGTGACAACAGATCAAGAAAATGCCACCTGAAGGTCAGGAAGAAAGTCCTCACCGAAAACCAAACTCTCCTGGACCTTGATCTTGAACTTCTAGACTCGAGAATTGTGAGAAAGTAAATTTCTATTACTTAAGACACTCAGTCTATGGCATCTTGTTATGACAGCATGAGCTAAGACAGCTCCCTTCATGGTGTAATTGCTGGACAGATTCAAGATTGGTACTCCTACTTAGACTAAAGTCCTTGAGGACAGGAACCCTGTTTTGGTTATCGTGTATTCCAATGCCTGGCATGGTTCCTGGAACATAGTTATTCTTTAATGTGGGTTAAGTGGATGTCAGAAAAAACTAATAACTAATTGCTTTTCCTAGTCATTAACTGGTCTTCATGAGCCTGTGGATCCCATGAGAAATAAAGAAGTGTCACCAAGTCAGTAAACCTTTTTCTGCTTCCCCCACAGATGAGGTAGGCTATGGCTCCTGAACCTCCAAGAGATAATAAATAGATGTAGTCCTTCTCCTCTCTCCCTTCCTCCCCAAAACAGGAACACAGCTTCTGGGAGAAGAATTACCAACTTCAAGATAGGCCCTACCAGTGATACAGATCTGTCAGCACCCCCAAGGACTGGACAGCGCCACAGCCCCTCTAGGAATTTTCTTCTCCCTACCCTCAACCCCTGTGGGGTAAAAACCACAAAAGCTAAAGACAAACCAAAACAAGGAATACCAAATTATAATAAAACCAATTCCCATACAATAGTCTACCTTCCATGCATATATTCCTCCCTCCCACTTCTTTTTTTTTTTTTAAATGTTTTATTTATTTCTAGGAGAGAGAGAGAGACAGCGTGAACAGGGGAGGGTCAGAGAGAGAGGGAGTCACAGACTGAAACAGGCTCCAGGCTCTGAGCTGGCAGCCAGCACAGAGCCCGACGCGGGGCTCGAACCCACGAACCGCGAGATCATGACCTAAGCGAAAGTCGGACACTTAACCGACTAAGCCACCCAGGCGCCCCTCCTCCCTCCCACTTCTTAAATCTGTTTTGATCAGGCTTCTTTCTGCCCCCAATTTTCTCACTAAATACTGGTGATGTTGTAGCGTACTACACATTGTTGAAGAGTGTGGGCAAAAAGAAGTATAGAATCGAGGAGAGGATTCTTTCTTGCTTAGTGTGCTAGGGGTGAAAAGGAACAGCAAATTTCTCATAGAGAAGGGTAGGTCTGGGATGGGTGGTGGGGGATGTGTAGGATTTTATTAGGTAGAGAAGGGTAGAGGAGATAGGCTGATGGAACAGTGAGAGCAAAAAAGACAGAGTGGTCTGGAAGTGCAAGTCATGAATGGGAAAGATGAGCAAAGAAACTGTTGCAGCTCAGGCTAATATTACATGGGCGATGATCCAGAGATCACATTGCAAAGTTGGGCTGCAAAAACATTTTCACATCATGCCAAAGACGTCGGTTTGTATCTTGCATTTGTGATAGGGAGCCCCAGAAGTTGGTAAGCAGAAAAGAAACTAGTTATGTCTTACTCAACTTGGAATTCAAGAATTCCAAGAATTGGATTGATTATAATTATGGGTTGATGCTACACTTTCAAGATTGTAGGCACATGGCTTTCTTTCTCTTTCTTCCTTTATTTCTTCTTTAATTCCTTCCTTTCCTCTCTCCTCCTTTCTTTTCATTTGAATTAATAGATCTTATTTTTTAGATCAGTTTTAGGTTTACAGAAAACTGGACAGAAAGTACAAACAGAAAGTTTCTGTGTGCCCCCCCCCACCCATTACTGCCCCTGCCCCTTGCCAGTTTCCTCTCTTATTAACATTTTGCATTGGTGTGGAAAATGTTACAATTGATGAGTCAATACTGATACACTATTACTAAATAAATCCATGGTTTATACCAGAGTTCTTTCTTTGTGTTGCATAGTTCCACAGGTTTGGACAAATGTATAATGAGGTATATACACCACTACAGTATCAAATGGAATAGTTTCACTGGCCTAATGCTCTACCTATTTATCCCTCCCTCCCCCCAACTCCTGGCAACCACTGAACTTATTACTATCTCTACAGTTTTGCCTTTTCCCAGAATGTCATATAGTTGGAATCTCACAGTATATAACCTTTTCAGTTGGCTTCTTTCACTTAGTAATATGTATTTAAGATTCCTCCATGTCTTTTTATGGCTTGATAGCTCAATTTTTAATCACTAAATAATATTCCATTCTACAAATATATTTGTTTATCCATGCACCTATTAAAGGACATCTCGGTTGCATCCAAGTTTTAGCAATTATGAATAAAGCTGCTATAAACATTCATGTACAGGTTTCTGTGTTATACTTTTTTAAAAACCTCATTTGGGTAAATACTAAGGAATACCACTGTTAAGTCATATGCTAGGAAAATATTTAGCTTTATAAGAAACTGCTATACTGTCTTCCAAAACAGCTGTAACATTTTGCATTCCCACCAGCTGATTTTACATTGACCTAATTGCCAAATGAAATGGTAACTTTCAGTGCTTACCTTATGTGATTTCTCTGTTGCATTAGGCACTGCTATCATTCCTTCATCACACTTCCTTCTTCTTTGGTTTCTATGACTCAGTCTCTCCTCAGTCTCCTACCATCCCTTAAACTATTTCTTTTTCTCATTCAGGGGCTCTTCTTTCACTGGTCCCTTAAGTGCTGCAAGTCCCTGAGATTCTATCCCTGATTGCCTTCTCTGCTCATTTTCTCCTGTGGAAAATCTCAGATACCCACCTCCCCACCCCCCCGCTGCTGCTGCCCACATGCTCCTCTGCTGCCTAGATACAGGCTTCTTTAGCCTCAATCACTTACTCTGAAGCTCCATATTTTAAGCACCCAACCATTTAACAGACATTTTACTTGGATGTCCCCGATCAACATGTTCACACCAAATCATCATCCTTCTTTCAAACCCATTCCCTTTCCTGTGTCCCCATCTTGGTGAGGGACTCCACCTTTCATCTACCTGCCTGCTTCTCTAATCTGGAACATGCCTCTCATGCCTGATTCTCCTTCCTCCACTCCCACATTTCATAAGTTACCAAATCTTTCTGATTTGAGACAGAATCATACAGAGATTAAAAATGAGAGTTTTGAGGTCAGATTGCCAGGGCTTAAATCCCAGCCCTGCCACTTACTCTGGGCAAGTTTATAATGACTCTAAACCTATTCTCTCATGTGTAAAACAGAATAACAGTTTTTACCTCACTGGGTTGTTGCAAAGATTGAATGAGATAGTACACATACTGTACAATGCCTGGCACATAGAAAGCGCTCAGTAAACATAAGCACGGCTATATGGTTGTTATGTACATGTTCTTTAGTCTGTTCTCTCTTCTCTGGCTGCATTGCCACTGCTTTGATTCAGTATGTCATCGTTTCTCACCTGAACTATCACAGTGGTCTCTAACTGGATGCTAAAGATATTTCCTGAAATTCTGCTTGTGATTATCTCAACTTCAAAATTGGGATGAGAAAAGTGAAGTCGTTTTCAGCTTGTGTAATGGAATCTGCTGCTGCAAGATGAGGTTTTAACAAGGGAAAAGTAGGCCAGACTAACATTCAGGATACTGACAGTGAGTGTACTATGGCTCACAATGCATCTACAATAAAAGATAACTTTGCAGACGTCAGTATAACCTGCCTGGATAGCTGCTGGGATTTCTTGACCCTCAGAAAAGACAGAGCCATTGAGCCAACAGTGTTAAATTTTCACTCTTTGGACTGGGCCTTAGAAGATCACTGAGCCATCAAGAGGTAAGCTCCCCTCTCTGATAAGTCAGAGTTAGAGGAAAGGGAGTAATGAGAAACTTCTCTTTTAGTTTGTTTCAAGCTGGCAAACTGGCGTACAGACAGATGAGCTGCACTGCAGGAGGAGTCATAAACACTGGGTCCATCTGCCAACCAACAGGTGGCAGCGCCTAGGTCTTTGGTGCCAGGTATTTTGCCTTTGTTTATGGAACTCTCATCCTCTGTGCCTCTGGACAAAGAGCATCTTATGACCAGAGCATTCAGGGGATATGGAGACTGCTGATCACAGAACAGAAGTCTGCATGCAGAAGCTGCCTGCCATGGTGGTGGTCCTGTTTCACGTCCTGCCCACTCCCTCCCCAATCTTAACGTATGTGATCACCATCAGAATGTTCTTTTCACAACAAATGCGGTAGTGCTTCCTTTTTGCTTATAACCCTCAAGACTCACGTTACCCCAGAACAAAGTCCAGGAAGACACAAATCCACACGTGGCCTAGTCTTACCACTGTCTCCAACCACCACCTCTGCTGACACCCCACCCACCCGTTCTGTATGCTGGCTTGGCCACAAGTGTACTCAGGACACCTTAAAAGCACCATCCTGTCATTTTGCTTGTAATACTCTTTATATCTTTCCCAAACTCCTTCTTATCCTTCAAACCTGATACAAGGTGTCCTCTCAGAAGATTCCTCCAATGCTACTCTATCCTCCAGGTTCCTGAGGCCCAAATCCCAGGTACCCTGAGTCTAAATCTCAGACTGGCCACTCATCTTGGGCAATGAATTTAATAAATCTAAGCTCCTTTCCTTTGGTTATATGGGATCTGGGAAAGAGGTAAAAAAACATTGTAAGCAAAAATGGCAGGATGGTACTTTCAAGGTGTTCTGAGTACCCTTGTGGCCAAATAGGAAGAGTGACAGCTTTTACCCATTGGGCTGTTACAAACATTGAATAAGACTAATACAAAATAATGTAACTTTTAAACCTCACTGTAAATATTTACCAAACTGGAATGCAAGTGTGTGATGTCAGTATTCTTGGCCTCTCTTCCTACCTTCTGATTAAAAAGGCTTTTCCATTCACTTCCTCTTCGCTAGGGAGAATGTTCTAGCCAGAGAAGCTCCTGGACTTCAGGATGCAGAATTAGAGGACAGCAGAGAAGGGAAAGGAGAAGGTTGACTTGTCAACAGAGGCCAAGGTAATCTGTATAACAAAAGAGCTGGGAGAGAAAGAAGTGCCATGAAGGATGGAGAATGGAACCAGGGTGGTGGTAAACATAAGCTTGTAAACATTGTGGAATGTGAGAGAATTTGGGGGTTGGGGGTAGAAGATGGGAGGAGGATGTGAAAATTGTTTCTGGGAGTTTAGGAACTGGGCTTCCTTTAATTTTGTAAGAACAACAGGTAAATGATTACTATTTTTTAATTACTTTTGCTCTTTGGATTATGATTATTTGACTACGTCACTACAAACACTAGACCACATGAAACTGAAATTCTTTAGGGTTACCCTTCTTTACAGTGTCTTTGCTCTCAGACTCAGCTTTTCCAGACACAGGGACTGTGCCTCATTACTTTCTGTAAACCCAACGCAAGCACATAGCCCGGCACATGGCATATGAACAATAAATGCTTGATGAACAAATAAACATATTCATGCTTATACAACTGGGCCATAGACTCCTATGAACAAGTCCACGCTCTTATTTTTCCATGTGTCCAAATAAATCATTGAATGCTGGAGTTGAATGGTGGCACCCAAAAAGATATGTCCATGTCATAATCCCCAGAGCCCAAGTGTTAAATTATATGACAAAAGATATATTATGTTAAGGATCCTGAGAAGAGACAGTTATCCTGGATTATCCGGGTGGGCATGAAATGCAATCACGTGAATCCTTGTAAGAGAAGCAGAGAGAGTTTTAAGGCAGGAGAGGAGGCCATGTGACCTCAGAAGTAGAGATTAGAGGGACAAGGTCACAACCACCTGGAGCCATCAGAAGACAGATGAGGAAAGGAAGAATTATCCCTCTAGAGCCTCCAGAGGGAGTACCGTCCAGCTGACACCTAGATTTTAGACTTCTGGCCTCCAGAATGTGAGAGAAGAACATTTTATTGTTTTAAGCCGTCGAGTTTATGGTGATTTGTTACAGCCACAGGAAACTAATGCAAATGCCTTATACATAATGGATGTTCAATAACTCTTTGTCAATTACCTGTCTGGGTCACTTAGAATCATAAGCTGTGCTTCCTTTACAAAGTCACTCACCGACGTTTTGTGGCAAAGAGCCAAGGGTTCTACTATGTCACTTCAGCACTTGTGATGGCTAGTGTAACCAAGGGGCCCCTCAGTACCATGGGAGAGACCATTGGGTTCCAGAGGCTAAGTGTCTACTGATTACACATATTTAAAGAATGTCCTTCACTCATTCCTTCAGGAAGGATAGTACAGTAGGGAAGTACTTGATAATGGCATGATGCCAACAGAAGAAATGTCTCGTGCCATACAGGGTGAACAGCCACCCTCACTGGGGCCACTCCAAATGGCAACCAACTCAGGCTGAGTACTCAGCAGTCTACCTACAGGGAACACCACTGAGCTGAAAGCAAGCAAAGTGAGACTTTCAGTTCCAAATTCTGTACAACAGTACATACACACACACACACACACACACACACACACTGTAAACTTGCTCAGGCAACCCTGCAGACACAATTTTCAAATATGGTAAAGGAAAGTCTGGAATTAACACGAACATCTGCTCAGAAGTAAACATCATAATTTCAGCATCATTTCTCCTACTATGTTCCTCAGAGGACAGAGGCCTTCTTCTCTCAGGGCTGGGGAAGACTCCCAGCCAGCAAGCCCAAGACCCTTGAGAGGCCACTCAAATTCCCCCAACCACACACACAGATTGCTAGGTGATCAATGTCTGCTATGTGATCTTCCAGAGAATATTGTTAAATCTGCTGGACCCAGTTTTCATATGAATGATCCCATTTTAATCAATTGCTCTGTCAGTAAAGTATTAACATAATATCCCTCTGATATTAGAGTAAATACTATGATGCATCTCACCCCTCCTTCCCACCTCCCACTTCCCCTTATCCACATGACTTTCTTCCATAGCTCTTTCAACATGCAGCTTTCAGCAAGCATGACCAGGTTAGATGTGATTTGATAGTAATAGTGTCCACCACCTACAAAAGGAGACATCCAGTTTGATGGAAATGCTCATACTACATCAACTGTTTCCACACCACTGTTTATAGAAGACTATATACACATGGATTTCCCATCTCAATTCCCTTTTAATAGCAGCTGAGGCAGGAGTGGGTAGAAGTAAGGGCAGAAGAAGGTAATTTAAACACTCCACCCACAGTGTGCTTCATGACTTTGGGCAGGTTATATAACTTTCTTGGGCCTTAATGTCCTCATCTGTAAAATGGGAATAATAATGGTACCTATTGGCTCCATCAGGCAACTGAAAGAATTACCTGTGGGAGTAGATGACAAGTACTTAATATGGGACCTGGCACAGAGTAAGCACTCAGGAAATATTAATTGTGCATGTGCACATGTATAAAGTCAACCAGAGGCTACATTCTCTAGTTAGATTTCCAAATCCTTTCCAACATTTAATTCTTCTTCCATTTCTTCTTTATAGTTCCCAGGGGCTGCTCCAGAAAGAGCTCAGTCCCTTAGCTTTACCCAATATACAGCATGACACGGCATTTGGTTTCAGCACAGACCTTTGCTGGGGTCAGATGTCCCTACAGAGGAGGGGAATTAGGATTTCAAGTAGAGCCAGCCATCAGGGAGGTCTGCAGCCTCTCCCCATACTCAGGCTACCACACACTGACAATCAGACATGTGTATGCTCGGAAAGAGGGGCTCTGACTTGGTAGGCTCCGCTCCCCAGGAAAGTGAGGATCTATTTATTAAATGGAGGGCAAGCTTCAGGGGAACGCTTTGCCTGAAATCAGCCTTCCTCACATTCAGCCTCTCCCTTCCCCTGCTTATTTCCCAATTCAGACTTCCTCTCAAATTGGTTACTGTTTCTATTTTCAGTTTCAGTTATGGATTAATCAAGCAAATTTGGCCCTCATTCTTTTGCCAAAAGTTTTATCACACGGCAAACACACAGTTGTCATCAGCATCAGTTATCGTGCATTATTTATTTATTTACTTTTAATGTTTATTTATTTATTTTTAAGAGAAAGAGTGAGAGAGCACAGGCAGGAGAGGGGGAGAGAGGGAGGGAGACACAGAATCTGAAGCAGGTTCCAGGCCTGGAGCTGTCAGTGCAAAGCCCAACGCGGGTCTTGAACCCATGAGCCGTGAGATCATAACCTGAGCTGAAGTCAGATGTTTAACTGACTGACCCACCCAGATGCCCATACGGTCCATTATTTAAAGTTAAAATTCTGTCACAACTTTACAAGGAGAAGAGATTCCTACAGTGAAAGCAGCAGGAACCGAAATGACGCTGACCTTGAGTATGCCCAGAATTAGCCCCAGAGATATTTATCCCCAAGAGCTTTAAATAATCTTAAAATAGTTAAATCTCTCAGGAATTTCTCATTATTATCATAGTCAAATTATTTGCACAATGAAAATATACTTAATTAGGTGAGCCTCAGCAGTCTTCAGGAGACAGGGTCAACCTGAGAAATTACAAAATATGAGCCTCTCTGTGTAAGAGTCCCAGGTGAAGCCTATGCCCTCCCTCTTCTCATGGTTTTCTCTGGGAATAAGGCTGTGCTTCTCTTCAGCAAAGGCTGTGTCTGGATTTGCTGTTATAGGTGAAGCTTTCATTTTGGGGCTTCAATCAATCTTCCTTGGGACTCAGACCTTGGGAAGAATTCACAGATCCCCTTCAGCACTTCTCCAAGGGGGTTTTCCCCAAATCCTGAGTGAGGATAGTTCCATGCATTCTGGGCAGATGGCCTCTTTGATGGTCATTTGTATGTAGCCCAATGTGGGAAGAGGGCAATAGAGGAAAAAGGTGGGGAGCAGAAGGAGGAACACAGGAGGAACATGAGAAGACAATGAGCACACCAGAGTGAGAATGCACCTAACAAAGTGGAGGGCATACTCAAGCTCAATCCCTTCCAATCTCTACCCCTTCCCAAACTACAAGTGTTCCACCAGCCCAATCTCTGCTTATTGAGTATTTGTTACATTAATGCAGGGATTTCTTCTGATAGAATGTATTTATTGCATTTTCATAGTCTGCATCATGTTTATCAATATTTTATTTTAGAATTAAAACTAGAGGTAAGGCAAACTTGAAAACAATTATGTATATGTATATATTATGTATGTGTATATCCATTCTTTCTCTTTAAAATTTATAATATACAGAGGCACTTGGGTGGCAGAGTCAATTACCTGTCAATTTCAGCTCAGGTTATGATCTCACTGCTTATGAGCTTGAGCTCTGCATCAGGCCCTTTGCTGACAGCTCAGAGCCGGGAGCCTGCTTCAGATTCTGTTTCCTTCACTCTCTCTCTCAAAAATAAATAAACATTTAAAAAAAATTTAAGGGGCACGTGGGTGGCTCAGTCAGTTGGGCATGTGACTCTTGGTTTCGGCTCAGGTCATGACCTCGCAGTTTGGTGGGCTTGAGCCCCGTGTTAGGCTCTGTGCTGGCAGCTTGGAGCCTGCTTGAGATTCTCTCTCTTTCCTCTCTGCCCCTCTGCCACTCACACTATTTCTGTCTCTCTCAAAATAAATAAATAAATAAACTTTAAAATTTTATATTTATAACACACAGAAAGGTGTACAAATCATAAGTGTACAATGCATTGAACTTTCAGAAACAGAACAGACCTCTGTAACTAGCACTTTGGTCAACTAAATAAATCACCAGTAACCCAGAAGCCCTCCTCATGCACTTTTCTCTCTGAGAGAAAAGAGCGTATGTGCACACACGTAGGGGAGGTGCAGAGGAAGGGGGACAGCAAATCCTAAGCAGGCTCCACGCTCGGCATGGGGCTCGATCCCACTACTCACCACAGTGAGATCATAACCTGGGCTGAAATCGAGAGTCAGATGCTTAACTGACTGAGCCACATAGCCAGCACCCACCCCATGCACTTCTAATTACTACTTTTATCCCCAAGAGTAGCCACTCTCCTGATTGTTAACAAGTTTTGCCTATTTTTGAACTTACATGAGAGGAATCAAATAGGATGTCCTTTTCCTCTCGGCTTCTTTCATTCCACATTTTATGTGTGAAATTCACCAATACGGTTGCTAATGGGTCTACTCTGTTCACTCTCATGGCTATACAGTGTTCCATTGTATGAATACTCCACAATCATTTATCCATTCTTCTACTGATGGGCTTTTGGTTAGTTTAATATTTTGTGTATTGAAAACAATGTGGCTATAAACACTCTTACGTGTGTGTGTTTTGGTGAAGACATATATGCCATGTTTACCTAGGAAGTGGAATTGCTGGGTCATAGGCGTGCATATGTTCAAACTCAGCAGATGTTTCTATGTGCATTTCTCACAATCACATATATCCTATCGGTCTCTGCGAATCCTATAAGGCATGTGAGAGTTCCAGAGGCAGGAGTGCTGGGCACTTCTGTCTATTCCTCACCACTGTGGGAGACCACTCTTCAGAAAGATATAAGAAGAATAAACCTTTAACTCTAGTTTGCTTTTGTTATTTTTCATAAGTATGTTAGAGCAAAAGAACTATCACCACCACCTGAATATCATTAACTGGAAAATTACCTGCAGAGGAAGCTGACCTCAGACGGCACAGCCTCTGCTCTAGGTCGACAGCAGTCTTTCCCCCTCCACTATTGTAGCCAATCACTCCACCCACCGGGCCCACATCAAATGCCCAATGAATAAAAGGAAGAGGACACTAAGAATAGCACGTTATTTAGTTCATGACTTGTTTTTATCAAATTAGACTTTTAAAGCAATTGAATATATTCCAATGGTGAGAGGTAAAAATGGAAACGGAGGCATAATTACTACTGTGTAAAGCAGGTGGTCCCCGGCCCACAAACGGAGACTCAGGATCTCACTGCCTTACAAAACCCTGCATGCCACCAGACAATTTTATGAAAACAGTAACAGAGCTCCAGAGGACAAATCCCCTCTGGAAGCCTGCTTCTCCGTACTGTGACAGTCTTCTAAAGCACTGCCTCAGAAACTGCCTTATTTTACTTTCATACGTGAAGAAGACTCCAGCGTTTTCAAGTAAAAGTCCAGTGACGTCCTAGACATACCATGTGAATCAGCAATTCCACCTCCCAGCTGTATATATACACAAGAGAACTGAATACACATGACCACACAGAAACCTGCAAACAAACGTTCATAGCTGCATTATTCATAACCAAAAAGTAGAAACAACACACATGTCAGTCAACCTGATAAATGAACACACAAAATGTAGCATATCCTTACAATGGAATATTATTCAACCATAAAAAAAGAATGAACTACTGATATATCCTATAACATGGATGAACCTTGAAAACATTTAGCTAGGTAAATGAAGCCAGACCCAAAAGATCCCATACTATATGCTTGCGTTTATACAAAATATCCAGAAAAGGCAAATTCATATAGACAGAAAGTACACTGGTGGCTGGCAGGAGGAGTGGGGAAAGCAGAGAGTGGGGAATGGCTACTAGTGGGTATGGGGTTCCTTTCTTTTTTTTTTAAGTTTATTTATTTATTTTGAGAGAGAACATGAGTGGGGGAGGGGCAGAGAGAGAGGGAGACAGAGAGAAAGAGTGAGAGAGACTATCACAAGCAGGCTCCACAGTGTTAGCACAGAGCCTGACACGGGGCTCAAACCCACCAAACTGTAAGATAGTGACCAACTAGATGCTCAACCTACTGAGCCACCCAGGCGTCCCAGGTATGGGGTTTCTTTGGGGGATGATGGAAATGTTCTGGAATAGACAGTGGTGATGACTGCACAACTTTGTGGATATAGTAAAAACCACTGAACTGTATACTTTAAAAAAGATGAGTGAAATATATCTCGATTGTTTTTAACATCAAGTTAAGACCAGAGCATTGAAATCAGACAGCTGCTACCTGCACTATGCTGTGGGCAAGCCATTTAAGCCCTCTAAGCCTCAGTCTCCTCCTCTGTAAAATGGAGATAATAAAAGAATGACCTCAAATGGTGTTTGTGAGATTCAGGATGATAGTGTTTGGCACAGAGACCACCCAGAAAGTCCCAAATAAACTATTGTTGATATTAAGATTACAGAAATAGTAGAAACTGGCTTGTAGCAAACACACCTTTTGACATCCCCGGATATACTCATCAACTATTTCTATCAGACCCACTAAAGGACATAGCTTTCTATATAATATGTAAGGAGTTACACCAGTGAGGTTTACTGTTCAGTCCTAAGGGGGAAATCCTGCCATACAAGAAGGCATATCAACAGGCAGAAAGACAGGGATGCCAAGAGCTGTCTCCAGAGTTCCTGAGGATAACCAATCAAGCAGCTGCTGCCGGGGAACTCTTGTTGGCTGAGAGTCGGCTGAGCAGGATGCCACCCCGCCAACACCCCCAGGGCCTGGGAACAAGGCACCATGCTTGATGGCTTCCCACCTTGCCCCGTGGTCCTCAAGTATGGGCAAACACATGAACACTGGGGCCGCAGGTCAAAGAAGAGGCAGGTGCTGTCACTGGATCTCTGACACTGCTCAGCATGCAGGCCTCCTGGAGGTGGCGGGAGAAAGGTGTGACAATGCTGGTTTCACATCTCTGCGACCCACTCTTGCCGCGACCCACTCTTGCTGAACAGCCACTGCTCCCTGCAACTGCCTCAATTTGCTGGGGGAGCGCATCAGATTCAATCCCCTAAGCAACAAGTTGTAACAGGATCTTTTGAGTTATCAGTTTTAGCAACACCAATGGTCCGCCATAAATCAGAAATTTCCTTGAAAGCAATATTTCAGGGGTGACAGTTCAAAATTAATCCTATAATTACCAAGGACTGAAGAAAGGCCGACCGCAGGGGGTGTTTCTCTTCAGGGTCCTGGGGACTGCTCGTCTTGGTGAAGGCCAATCATGGTGAGAAGATCCTCTTTTTTCTTTTACTTTTTTCTAACTGTGGTTTGATACAATTTTTAAATATCATCACAATTGCTTTCAACTTTTTTTAAAACAACATTTTAGAATATCATTGATTTGCTGTACCGTTCTTTTCTAAGAAATTATTTACCTGTGTATGAAAAATTCTGACTAGTATATACATTTCTTCTCTTGAATTTTGATGGCTTTGCTGGGTGTCATAGCTGCTAAATATCAGCTGATTAACACTGGACTCAGGTAAGTTTAGGATCCACCCCTTACAGTTTGTTTTACTATGGAGAAGCTGCTTAGCTTCTCTGCGCATCAGCAGCTGCTTTTGTAAAATGGACATATTATCTATGTGATGGAACACTTAAGGACATACATAAGATAGTGTTAAATAAGATAATAGACACATTATGTTATAGAAATACGATAAGTGAATCCAGAATGTACACAGATACCAGCTTTTAATAACCACTATTGTTATTGTTATTTATGGGATTAGGCAACCATGTCTGACTCTAGTTAATATTGCTTTCCTCAAGATTTAGTCCATCTTTTGAGGCTGTAGACACTTGAGGAAACTGGCTTCCTATGAACCCTGTCAATGTATCTGTCACACAGGAAATTCTGGGTTTAAATGATGTTATTTCTCTGACTTCATCTTGCAAAGAAAGCCTCATGGACACCTCGTTGCAGTCACTTGTGTACCACTTCATCATTCTCTTGATTTTGCCTCGCCATCCACTGCTGCTACAACCAGGACCACCAACTGTAGACCTACAGAGTTCCCCACGTGGGACGCCGTTTCTTTGACAACACAGAGTGGGACTCCCTCAGGACACCGCTTGGCACAACCGAAACATGTGGTGAGTTTACACAGATGGAGCCACCCTGAGACTTGCCATGCGGACATTTTGTGGACAAGTCCCAGAATCCTGAACCCCTAAAACAACTTTTACTTGCTAGAGGAGAGCTGCCTCTTCTTGCCTGGAGACCAAAGAGCTCACCTGAGGCCACTGCCTCATAAGGTGGTGCTCCTTTTCCTCAAAATCCTTCCACTTCAGCCAATAATTAGGGCCAGGTCTCAGCACCATGTGAGGAAACAGAGTCCCTGCTCTTGTAGGAACTAGCGTCATAGAGAAGAACTTTCAGGTTCCATTGTTCTGTACTGACGGAACTGCGGGAACACACGGGTGAAGGACGGTCAGTGGGGTTGATACCAAGCTTGGTTGTTGAGAATTTATTGACACAAAAGCACTCTTTGTGGCTTGGTATTAGCCACAGACACCTGAAGCTGGTATGGCTCCAAAACAGCAGGGTGGTGACAACTAATCGTCAAAGGCTAGGTGGATAGAAATACCATAACTGACAGCAAGGCCAATCTGGCACAAAGGGGCTCTGACCAGTAGGAAGGAATCTGTGGCAAAGGCTAACTGGCCACGGGCAAGATGGACAGACAACTGACTAGGGTGTTACTTGACTTATTTAAGAAAGAGAGGGAGCTGAGAGCAGGAGGTTGGTATCAGCTGCTATATTCACGGGTTCACAGGCCACTGGCTGAGAAGAGGTCTTGGGGAAGGACCCTGAAATACCACCACACAGTTGATATGATAAAGATTCCTCTGATCCTTCTACAAAGGGACCCAGAACCACGTACTAGGATTGTCGGTACTGAGGAAAATGCAATGCCAGATTTTTTGTGATGGCTATGGGTCTAAGTTGACCCTGATGCCATGGGACCAAAATGGTAGTTATACAACTGGAACAGAAATGTATGGAGAACAGGTGATGAATAAAGTTGTCACCATGTCTGTTTCACAGTGGGTCTAGCAGGTCCACAAAACCATCTTATAGTTATTTTCCCCAGCCTCCAAGTGTATAGTTCATATAGATATGCCTAGAAGAGTCAAGACACTCTCTCCGTAGAACAGGAAGACCTATCAATGTTATTTTTCTTACATCTGTAAAGCAAAACATAGTAGATTGTCCTTAGAATAAATAGTTGGCAGTCTGAAAAAGTAAAGTAAAAGGTAGTATATATTCCTTTACAAAACTATATGAAGGAACATTCACATTACATTTGCCTTTCATCATGTCTGATATTCCTTACAGGTCCATGATATTTAGTGACCCAAGTTGTGTCCAGTATCAGGCAAGTTGAACTTAAAATACCTTAAAGGGGCACCTGGGTAGTTCAGTCAGTTAAGCATCCAACTTTGGCTCAGGTCATTATCTCACAGTTCACAAGTTTGAGCCCCATGTTGGGCTCTGTGCTGAACTCTCTGCCTGGACCCTGCTTCAGATTCTGTGTCTCCCTCTCTCTCAGCCCCTGCCCTACTCGTGCTCTGTCTCTGTCTCTCTGAAAAATAAATAAACATTTAGAAAATTAAAATAAATAAATAAAATACCATAAAAACCCTAAGAATGAATACACACTTGCAATTTGAGATTCAACAGTTAAAAGATTTGGACTTATTTGGACAAATGAAATCCATACTCTCCCCACAAAGTTACTTTTTTTATTTTTTTTAGTGAGCAGAAATGCAAATTTGTTAGACAAATGGGAAGAAAAAAATGACACCACCTTCTGAAATTGTGATGGCAAGAATGCAGAGAAAGGGGAACCCTCTTGCACTATTGATAGGAATGCAAACTGCTGCAGCCACTGTGGAAGACAGTATGGAAATTCCTCAAGGTTAAAAACAGAACTACCTTCTGATCCAGCAATCACATTACTGGGTATTTAACCGAAGAATACAAAAACACTAATTCAAAGGGATACATACACCCTGATATTTATATAGCAGCATTATCTACAACAGCCAAATTATGAATACAGCCCAAGTGTCCATGGGCTGAAGAACAGATAAAGAAGTGGTGGTACACACACACACACACACACACACACACACACACACACACACTATGAATTATTCAGTCATAAAAAAGAATGGAATTTTGCCATTTGCAATGAGATGGATAGAGCTAAAAAGTATAATGCTAAGCAAAATAAGTCAGTCAGAGAAAGATAAATACCATATGACTTTACTCATATGTGGAATTTAAGAAACAATCAAGCAAAGGGAAAAAGAGGGACAAAGCAAAAAACAGACTCCTTTTTATTTTACAGAGAGAGACAGAGTATGCACATGCACATGCATTAGGAAGGAGCAGAGGAGAGGCAGAGAGAGAGAATCTCAAGCAGGCTCCATGTCCAGTGTGAAGCTCAACTAGGGACTCGATCTCATGACCATAAGATGATGACCTGAGCTGAAATCAAGAGTCGGAAGTTCAACCGACTGAACCACCCAGGCACCCCTAGACTCTATTACAGAGAACAAACTGATGGTTAGAGGGGAGATAGTGGGGGGATGGGTTAAATAAGTAACGGGAATTAAGGAGTGCACTTGTCATGAGGAGCACTGGACAATATTTGGAAGTGCTGAATCACTATATTGTACACTTGAAATTAATATAACACTGCATGTTAATTGGAACTAGAAAAAAAAAGTTGGTGAGAGTAATTTCTCTATGCAAAAAATTAGTAGAAAAGCACTACCAGGTACAAGGACTTTTGAGAATGTCAAAAGAATTTTGTGTCCTATACTATCCATGCCTCCTATGCTTCCAGATGATCAAATAGTTGATGAGATGAGTTTCTCTTTGTAGAAGTATCTCAGTACAGAACACAGAGATAAATGAAGAAGAAATGATAGAATACGACTACTGGGGGCACCTGGGTGGCTCAGTCAGTTAAGCGTCAGACTTCCGCTCAGTTCATGATCTCAAGGTTCGTGGGTTCGAGCCCTGCGTCAGGCTCTGTGCTGGCAGCTAGCTCAGAGCCTGGAGCCTGTTTCAGATTCTGTTGTCTCCCTTTCTCTCTGACCCTCCCCTGTTCATGCTGTCTCTCTCTCTCTCAGAAATAAAAACATTTGAAAACATTTTTTAAAATTATTGAAAAAAGAATATGACCACTGTATATTGCCTACATGAATCTCAGCAATCAATAGGTAATAACATCACAGAGAGAGACAGCAGCAACTAGACACTGTATGCTTCCTGCCAGAACTATATAACACCAAGCATTACTCCCACCCTAAAAAAGAGGCTGACTCTGATCAAGCTTCTAGGAGATATAACTATCAATTAACAAGAAATACAAAGAACAGAAGGGCATGTTAAAGGACACTGTGGGGATGCTTTCTAATCTGACTTTTTATTTCTAACATGTCTCAGTTTTCCAAATTATATTTGTAAATATAATAAAATTGTACTACCAAAAAATTTTAATATACAAAATACAACCCCCAACTTTTATTCATAGATTAAAAAGACAAAATGAGAATTAGGAAAGCTATCACATTATTCTTTGAAAATGTGTATATAGGAAATTAATAGAAAACTGCTGTTACATTCTCAACTTTCTGCCATTCTGCAGTCATTGCTAAATAAAGTTGTGAGCAGAGTAGCAATTCCTCATATTATGAGGAATAAATGCTTACATATATAGTTCGAATAAACACTATGTATATCACTATTTAAAAATTTTAATGTCAAAAATCAGCTTGCTCCAAGCCTGTTAACCAATGTGACCTAAAATGGATTAAAGACAACACTACAGGGGCACCTGCGTGGCTCAGTTGGTTAAGTATCCGATTTTGGCTCAGGTCATGACCTCACTGTTCATGAGTTTGAGCACTGCATCAGGCTCTGTGCTGACAGCTTAGAATCTAGAGCCTGCTTCGGATTCTGTGCCTCTCTCTCTCTGTTCCTCCTCTGCTCATGCTCTCTGTCTCTCTCTCTCAAAATTAAACAAAACAAAACAAAAAAATAAATAAAACCCTACTTATTGAGGATATTTATATGAATCATTTAAAGGTTTAATAACAATCATAGTAGAAAATACAGTCTCACAAAGGTGTGACTTACAGGATTGGAAGAACAGTATCACTTTAGCAAGCTCAAGATATTTACTTTTTAACCTTTATGTAAAATGAGACAATAGAAGTTGCATTTTCAAAATTTATCTTCAATCTATAGCAGCCAATTCTAGTAATTTATCTTGTAAGGTTAAATTTAAATTATCTTTCAATCAAAGAAATGGACTTCTAAATTCATGACTTTCCTCTACACGGATTTTCTTTTGATGTACAGTTAAATTCAAAATGTTTAGTCAAATTCAAATGATGGTTGGTGACCACTTGTTATACATGTACAATATCCCATGGATATTCTTCATTGATAGTGGTCATAATTAATGGAATATGCCATAACAATCAATTGAAACTCTGCTCTTCCAGAGGCGCCTCGGTGCCTCAGTCAGGTTAAGTGTCAGACTTCAGCTCGGGTCATGATCTCACAGTTTGTGAGTTCAAGCCCCGCATCAGGCTCTGTGCTGACAGCTCAGAGCCTGGAGCCTGCTTCAGATTCTGTGCTTCCCTCTCTCTCTGCCCCTCCTCAGCTCACACTCTGTCTCACTCTTCCTCTCTCAAAAATAAACATTAAAAAAAAAATTTAGAAACTCTGCTCTTCCAAGTTTTTATTTCCCTTTTGATCTTATTTGCCATTGAAAAACATGTTGCTTTTCTTCTTTGCACAAAAGTATTAAGGTGATTAAAATACCAAAGATATCACATAGATTTTAAAGAGCTGCAACCAAACTGGCTTCTTATCTTGAGGAACACTAGGAATTCTCGCACTTGACAGAATTTTTTCCCTCAAAAACCATCACACTTCTGTATGCAATAACTATTGTGTATGATTAGCTTCCACTTAGCACATAATAAAGACAATAAACTCAAATTTTAATAGATTACCCTTTATATACATTCATAAATTTTCGTATATCACTAAGCCTGCTGCTTTATCCTGCTGACATGTTTTCACAGCCAA